AAAATAGCCCTTCTGAGCTAAAGCCCTTTGGCCTAATAATATTTTCAAATTGATAATTAATTATTTATTGATATATAGCTATATTATTTGATAAGGAAGAAATCATACAAAATAAAATAAATATAAGGGAAAATATATATACAAATTATTTTGATATATCTTAAAAACAGTATTAATATTTTTAATTCCTAATACGAAGTAAAAAAGTATTCTAATCGCGAAAAATTTTGGATATCATATTTCAACGAAATAATCCATTTTGACCGCTCTCGAATCCAATTCAATGATGTTTTTGCTTGACATCTGTACGTACGGACAAAATAAACGACTCTTTTTTCCAAAATGAGTTGTAAAATGGATTTAAAATAGATTCAGAAAAGATTTTTTTAGTTACGTCTGTACGTATGTATGCACAGATGTCACGCAAAATCATCGTTGAAATGGATTCGAGAGCGGTCAAAATACATATTTCCTTTGAAATATGATAACCGAAATTTTTCCCGATTCCAGTACTTACTTCATAAAAGGAAGTAATTTATAGCCAATACACTGTAAATATACGCTCTCTTCCATCCAAGCATGTGCACTTCGAAGCTCGAATTTTGAGTTCGTTTTTTATACTTTTCAAATTTTTACGAATTTAAGGAACTCCTGATTAAAAACTGAGCAATTTCTCACGGAAGAAAATATTATTCTTTGGAAAATATGCAATGCAGCTTGGTAAATTCGTAACAATAAAATGCGTGATTAATTAAATGATGTAGAGCTTAGAAATATATACTGTGAGCTAGTGAAGAAGTTCCATGAGAAATCTTCCTTTATTAATAATTAAAGTATTAGCAATTATTATTTATGGCACATATCATGCTCTTAAAAACATCCGAAATATAAATATGACTTAAGGGCCATTGTCTAGCTTCCTTTTTTATTATTCATGTCTACTATCAAATTACAAATTTATGAAAAATCTAATTTTTTGCATTGAGGGATTTTCCATGAGCAACGTATTTTGAACTGACATGATTTAAAAGAAAAAAATATTCGACAGGGATAGTGCCTTGGGCACGAGCACTCTAGTGACTGCACCGTTCAATCCCGTATATGATTAAAAACTCAGCGATATAAAAGCTTTGTGTTGCCAGTTTCCAAAGCGAAAGATATCAAATTTAATACGAAAACTCATTGAAATAAAAGATACGTGTTCACTCGGCAAAATGCAATGTATTTATCTTTCGAATTTAATGAACACACTCCGCGATATAAAAGAAACGTGTTGCCATTCTCCGAAATAAAATACCTTCCAAATGGCAGTGTGTTGTCGTTCAGAGAAGGGTAAAATATTTAATTTTTCTTTCAAATTTATTCTGTTATTTACAAACTAAGCAATTTCAAAGCAGTAAACGCATATTCAATTCAATTGTTATTAATTACGATTAGAATCATTATATGTAATGTATGTATATACTTATATATGTATATATTCTTTTCATAATAAGTATTTTTAGGCTGCTGGTTGAGCAAGCGGCTAGTAATTACAAAAGAAAATGTTGAACTTATATAACTTTTCAAAAATTGTGAAAATTTGGAAATGCATATTTCTGGCAATTTTTTTAACGGATGATCAAAAAGATGGTTCGCACTTTAATGGAAACGATTTTCTATTTAAATTTTCTTGTTAGCATTTTGAGGTAAAAAATTTTGATTTTGCAATATAATCGTCTGTTACCATTTTCCTTTGACTGGAATGAATAAGAGATTTATTTTGGAAATGGTTCCTAAAATCTACAGATGGCTGGAGGTTTTCTTAAATGCACCTTCCTAGGAAAAATATTCTTATCACTAAAATATAAAGCAGTGTAAAAATCGAGGTTAACTGCATATCAAAAAAAGGTATTTTTAATGTTTTAAATTTGAGGGGGGGAAGCCATCTAGTTGAGGCTAAAAATGAAAACAAATGGCCACAAAACTGCATTTTAAGACTCTTTGGATATAAACTCAAAGATCCATTGCATCAGAACAAGAAATGTCATCTGGCACGATAAATAAAATTATTCAGAAACATTTAAAGATAAAACAAAGCAAAAAATAATTAAAAAAAGAAAAAGAAAACCTAATGTTTTCGAGTTAGTTCACCATGCCCAGCAGAAGAAGATACTTCAGATAACACTTGTCTGTATCATGGTCACGAATTAGCCTACCAGCGGCCGATAGGTAACGTCGCTGAACGCTGGTAATTCGGTCCGAGGTTCGAATCCCGCGAACGGGCTGGCTGCATGGGTGTTTTCGTGGTTTTCCCAATGTGTAACGTTATACGAGCCAGTTTCCCTTAGAAAGTCCTCCACGAAGGCATCCCTTCCCTTAGGCAGATAGCCCTAGTGTGCTTTACCATAATTAAATACATCAACATCATGGTCACGAATTTTTTCTCAACTTTCTGGGGCTGAAGAGACAATTTCTAAATTTTCGAGATTTCTTTCTCAATTTAGATTACTGAGTTCTCTTTATTTTATTACATTATGTTATTTTATTTTTTCCTTTCATTTATTATTATCCCAAAAGTGACGTTAGTCTCAATGGTACTTTGCGTCGAGTCAACTTTAAATGCGATGTATCCCTTCTCAAATTGTTACCACCAAATATTATCGCTTTGTATTATATTTAAACAAATTCAATAATGAAGAATCTGCATGAATGAATGTATGTTTCTCGCGTTGTGAAAGAACAACGGTACCTAAAGCCGTCAGGTTTTGAATAACGTAGTTTATAATAAATAAAGTTTATAATAAAAAGACAAAAATAAGTTTTGTAAAACCGTCTTAGTAAGAAAATTGAATATTGATATGATAAACTGAGAAAAGCTTGAGAAAAAAAAGAAAGAAAAATATACGCGAACACTCAACGCTGCATCCGGAATTCTAAAAGTATATTGCTGTGCTGCTTTTAAAAGTTTACGCGAACACTCAACGCTGCATCCGGAATTCTAAACGTATATTGCTGTGCTGCTTTTAAAAGTTTTGTAATTTTGGTGTTGAATTGCAAGGGTGTTTCAAAAGGTCGTTGCTAAACTTAGCATGCTGGTCTGTCATACCAGCACAAACAATAAGACTTACATAGGAACTTGCGTCCGACAAATGCGAATGACGAATGCTAGAGAACAAATAGAGTAGAAATCATGGAGGTAGGAAGTAAGATGGAGTTGCCCTAAACAAGTTTCTCCCGTACTCTGCTCTGAAGCACCGGCGATCCCTACGTGGTGACCAAACATTGGGTCATTTACATTGAGTTCTATGGGATTTGACGCGCGTTCGGATGTAAATATTTGTAATTACGTCGTAAATATACATATAAATGTATATATTTTTCTTTTTCTACAACACTTCAGAGTCCTAAGTATATGAAAAACAACATATTTTTAAACAACATTTCATTCTGAATGGAATTAAATGCTATATATTTCACAGGACAGTTTTCTCAGAATGGTTTAATTTGAATGAAATATTTTCACAAGTTTTCGTTAATTACATTAGAAACAAAATTAAGGTAATTCGATTTTATTCGGTTAAGGTACAAAAATTAAGATCAAAGTTTGTTGTATTATTAATATTAAAATTATGCCCTTTTTCTTTTCTATTTATAGAGCTTCTTCCTAAAATACTTTCTTAATATGACCATGATTTTTTTGGCTCCTGAGGCATCTTTTAAATCGAAAAATGTAAGTCAATTTATAAACTAATGCTTAGTCGGTTCATTTTTAAATTAGAGAATTATTAGGAATTAGCGAAATACTTTAAATAGTACTTGACTTTCTCTGAACATTTCTAAAAAGAAATAAATAAGTTTTTTTTTTTTTTTTTTTTTTTTTTAGAATTATTGAAAACTTGTAACTGAGTTATTATAAAATGTAAGGGGAATAATTCTTTTTTTAATTATACTTATCAGATTTTTTTTACCTTTCATTTTAACAATACATATTCCAAAATTCTTTATTACTTTCTTTTAAGTACGCTTCTCATAGCATTTACTTTACAATACCTTTTAAGAGATTGCTTTCCAATACGAACAATTCTTGCTTAAATAGTTTTATAACGTATTTGTCAACAGGATTTCAATTTATGTTTACAATTCAATGTTAAGGTTATTATATTTTAGATAACATTTATAATCATTATAAATTAGATACATTTAATAATTAGATTTCTTCACAGTACTTTCACAGTTGTTTAGCTTTTCGCAATAATATGCAACAATAATATATGGATGTGAAAAAAATTTGTTTTATTTAAAACATTTTGGCGTTTGAAAAATAAAATAAAAGTAGCGAATACTCTATCAAGGGTATCGAAAAACGTATACAATTTTAAATGTACCGGAAGGTATTTTTCATTCTTTAAGCATAACATTTTTCTTAAAATCTATATTTTTGTAGTTCAACCGCTTAGAATTTTATAAAACAAATTCATAATCAAAATCGCGCTCTTGTTAGTTATCGAAAAATAACCAAGATGTGATTTTTGCGTAATTGTCACTAAATTATACAAATTGCTATTATCCATCACACTATGAATGTTTCTTTCATGCGAAAGTGTCCCTTTTTCGATTTGTATGGAACTGTCGTGTGTCGAAATACTATCAGAACCGTGTCAAGCGAGCTTCTGAATGTAAACAAAGAACACCCCATCTTTCAAGCTTCAAAGTAGACCCAAGCTTCAAAGTAGTGCTTCACTTCTAGTGCCGACTGGCTCCTCCTTCCTTTCCTTACCTCCATGGTAGAAGTAGAAAAAAGTATGTGGAAAGAGGTTTTCATATGACTTCACTAAAAAACATGGTTAAGTCATAGAAGATGTTCAAAATTTCTTCCATTCGAACAATGGACTACTACAGCGTCGACGCATGGATTCACAGACCCCTTCAAAATGGGTAAGTGTGTGACGGATACGTGCCGCCGCGTCCACGATCCTGGCGACGAGATCCATGTCCGATGTTCATATCGTCTCGTATACCATAGACTTCATGTATATGGGTACAGGTACAAATATAGGGGTATATACAGGCACAGGTACATATACAGGTACAAATATAGGGGAGTTAGGTCGGAGGATCGCGGTGGCCATGCGTTTGATCATGCGCTTGGTAGTCATGCGCTTTTTAACAGGATATATTCTATGGAGGTATTCCATAAAAAACTGTGCAGGCGCTTCATCATGCTGAAAGCAGATGTTTCGGCGTGTAGCTGCTGGAATGTCAACCATCAGATCCGGCAACACTCTTTCACTCTTTCCACAAAATGGCACTCAAAATGTTCGTAAAGAAATTTAGTAAACACTTTCATCTTACTCCTGCAAAGTCATCGGTTGAAATGATCACCTTTCCCAGTCTTCTCTAAGCCTGTGAACATTGCCCTCTAGCGGTCATCGTTCGCATTTTCGGACAGATGTTTTATGTAAATCTTGTTTGTCCTGGTATGGCAGACCAGCCAGTTAAGTTTGGCGACAATCTTTTGAGACACCCTGTATATGGCACAAGTGCGAAGAAAATTATGCTTAGTAATAAAGCTAAAAAGATATTAAAAAAATGGGGTAGTAGAAGTGAATGTAACAGCAGACTGGTAGACTGCGAGCTTAGCAACAGTTTGAAAAACTTTAACAAACCCTTCTGAGCGACCGTTAAATTCTGAAACCTTTCAGTTTTCTTTAAAATTTTATTTCTATTTTTAAAATTTTTTCTCCATATTCAGTTCTTTTACATATTTGAGTACTATAACTTACTTCTGTAAGCCTCGTAATATATTTTGTGGAAGACGAGGAATTAAAGTTAACAAAAAAAAAAAAAAAAAAAAAAAAAAAAAAAAAAAAAAAGAAAAGAAACTGAAGTTCATGTGCTTTTATCAAAGCATATTGCGGAAAAAAAACAAGTTGTACAAAATATAATAAAAAATACATAGTTACTGACTAATGGAGATTTGTGGTAACAATCTTTGAGACATGGACATAATTAAGTGAAAAGAAAGAAAAGGTTCATTTTTTCTGTTACTCAGCTGACAAAAATGACTGTACAAAATGGCTCTGTGAATGTACAGAAAACCTTCCAACAGAATTCATGATAGTTGTGGGATTCTGTTACAACGGTAAACTAAAACTAAAAAGAGTCTCCAGTAAGGCTAAAATTAACTCACTGCAGTGTCTGCAGAATACCTTAACAATTTTGAAAGAAGCAGTTTCAGCCTTATATTGAAAGACATCAGTAAGATTGATCTTCATGTGAACAAAGCCTCTAATCACACACCTAAGTTAGTTGCCGCTTATTTTGCAAAGAAAGAATCAGAAACAAGAATAAAATATGTCCCATTTAATGAAATATGCTTGTGCAATCACTTGACGCTTCTCCAACGGACTTTTGCACTTTCGGTTTGTTACCACGAGCCTTAGGAAAATGGCAGCCAACAACACTGACCAGATTTTGGGAAAACGACCCAAGAAGAGTGGGATAAAACTGACAAGATGGTGTTAAGAAAAAGTTTTACTTCATGCAAAATTCGCAATAGAGCCATCAATCAAGGCTATGAGATAGAAGTAAATTGCGGCAAGAAATTCGCCCTTTGAGCATAAAAATTCATTATCAAAATCGCTTTCATAAAGAGCAAACGGCCTTTAGTGTACTGCTGCAAGTAATAAACACTTGAAATTTTAATTGCAGTTTATGCTATTACCTTTAAAAGCTGTTTACTTCATGCAAGATGAGATGAGTTTGCCCCCAGTAGAATAAAGTTTTATGATTGACGAAATTCTAGACGATTCTTCAAAGTTTTAAATTAACTTCCTACTAAAATATGAGTAATGTAATCGTCAAAGCCGCATCAGGCATAGGCTTTAGTTGCAGGGACGTCACTGCCTTAATGAAGCAAAGAATTTACATATTTCTCTTACTTTGGTAAACAGAAGACATTCGATTCTTTACCTTCTAATCTAATAACTGTCTTGGATGTTTTCAAAGTTAGAAAACTTCTGAAAATTCTCAAACAATTATGCATCTTCATTAGAATAATTAATTAGTGTTCGCAAGCGATTATCAAATTACACACAGGTAGAAGTCACTGATAATCAACTCCCATTCTTAAAAATTTAATAATCGCATCTTATTTTAGAACAGGGAAAGAGTGGGAAAAGTGTAGGTGGCGTGGATGCACTCAGATAATCAATAATTACGTTTATGTAAGTGTTGCCATACTTTTTTTTATATTCGATGCACTATTTATAAATATTGCCCAAATATATTTGGGATATAAATTGATGAAAATATACAGATCTGTAAAACTTTCTGCTGCTTGGACTCGTAAAAAAAGTTCAAAATTTTCAATTCCCCTTTTTGCTATTCTGACATGTTTATTCACAAAGTTAGGAACTGGTAACACACAGAAATACTAACTCAATATTTAAAACACTGCAAAACAACAAAATGCTTAATTTAATTATTCTTTGTTTTGAAGGTGTGATCGGCAACAATTTTTTAAAATAATTTAAATGGAATCCTATGTTTTACTTTGGAAAACAGGTAAGATATTGTTTTTATAGATTTAAAAATTGCGAATTTTAATATTCCAATAACACAATCAATAGGATGTTATCAGTCTTATTATTATAATGAAATTTTATTATGATTAGCATTCTGCGAATTCTTCTGATTTTAGTTCTAAGATATTATGAGATGATTAAACTTTAAGGCATGGCTTGTCTTCTTTAATTATTATTAGCCCAGAGGGAAACGTTGCCCAGAAGGGCTATTAATTTCGTTTTGGCATTTCGCGTTGGTTCAGTGTAAACGGCGCTTCACTTTTCAAATTCTTGCCACCAAATATTAGAGCCCTGCATTACATTTAAAGAAATTAAGTAATGAAGAATCTGCATGAGTGTTTCTCGCACTGTGAAAAAACAACGGTACCTACAGACATCCTTCAGTTTTGAATGACGTAGTCCTCCACTCAAATATGGGCATCTGGAAGCCCAAATTTGGAATTTAGAATTTGTTTTATTATTTACTTTACATTTTATAAAACTTTAACAAATGTTTGAGTAACAAACTCAACGAGCCAGCAATGACAACAATGTATGGAAGGAGGGATTTTATCTCCCCAGCGAGAAAGATTGTGTCTCGGAAATTCTAAAGATATACATTTTTAAAATTATTTTGCGATATTGCTGTTGAACTGAATTTTATGTTTTAAGTGTGCGAAGAACATGATATTTAATAAATAAAGGTAACATACAAGAGGTTAAAAAAAGGTCTTTGGGCGTAATATAAAATTTGAAAGCTTTCAGATTTTATATTAGAACTTTTATTTATTGTTACTTTAATTATTATTTCCAGTGTTAGTAGTGACATCAGCATCTTGGTTAATGCTATTCAGAAAGGCGAAGAGAGAAAAAGATGTATGTGGCGTGGGCACAAATCAACTGATCAATCTTACATTTACAAACAATGTTTTCGGGAATGAGAGTAGTCTGAGAGAGATCACTGAGTCGTGAAAATACAAAATGCGATTGCACATTTTCAGAAAGATTTCGATAAAGAACAGATCAAATGTTTTGTAACGAAACTTTCTGGCAATGGTTTATTATTTGAAATCAGAAGCATCGTCTGCAATTTTTTATCCGTCTTTCAATATGTCGCATGTAAACAACCTATCGATTGAAATATATGTTTTTGCGCTTTCTGAAGAGAATTCGTATTCCATAATTTAAAAACGTGTTTAAATGCATGGTATTAAAATTTTGAAGTGCAAAGTAAGCAAAACTGTTAAACTGGAAAGGAAAACCCGGGAATCATTACTTCTACATAAAAAGACCCGAAAACGGTACATTCTAAGGGTTCCAATGTTTCTAAAGTTAAATCGCTCATAAAAAGAGAAATTTTGCCGATGTTGAAATCAATTGCAAAGTCTTTAAATACATCTATAGAAACAAAAAAATAAAATAAAAAACAAAGATTCACAATTTAAAAAAGCTAAGAAACATAATATTCAACAGTTTTACCTAGGCATGTGGCTCAACACAGAACATTTAGTAGAATCCTGTATAAAAACTATATAAAAGATAAATGGATGTACATTGCGGCCCTCGCTAAAGCACAGGTTAATTTAAAAGACTGCAGAAAACAAAGGTCTATTTATCGAAATATTATTTATTATTATCGAAACGAAGAGAAAAACGATTCTATTGCGGTGGAAGTAACAAAAGTGAATAAAAGTGTTAAAATCAACTCAAAGTAGTATCAAGAGAAAACTTTAGCTACCATATTTACATAGGAAAATCCATTCCTTTATCCGAATGAGTTTCAAAGAGCGAAACTTCGGCAAGACGAAGCAACAAGTCATACTTCCAAAAGAGCCACTGAAACATTCCTTGAAAAAAGAAAGACTGATATAGGTACTGCGTATATAACTTTTCAGCTTACTTCTGCGAAATCATGTGACGTTTCACCTTTGGACTATTGTGCCTCTGGTCTCTCGAAAAGAGCTCTTTCTCCACGATGCATGCCGAAAAGTAGTGGAAGAGAAATGGAAAACAATACCCCTGGAAATTTTATTTCCCCTGCAGCTAAAACACAACACCTCAGATTAAAAATATGAATGAATGATTTTAATAAATTGTTCTTTAGATCTATGGTTTATTATTAACCCAAAAGGGACATTAGTCCCGAATAGGAAAATACTCTCGAAACGACATTTTGTGCTGAATCACTATTAAGGGCATACCAATTTTCAAATTATCGCCCTGTATTATATTTAACGAAATTAGGTTATGAAGAACCTGCATGAATGTATGCATGTTTCTAGCAATGGAAAAAAAGAACGGTTCCTACAGCCATCCAGTTTTGAATAACGTAGACCACACGTTACCACACGAACTTGTTTGAAGACGTTTGAGTAACCACACGAACTTGGGTACCTGGAAAACCAAATTTTGAATTTCTAATTTCTTTATTATCTGTTTCATATTGTATAAAATTTTAACTAATTTCTAATGAACAAACTCAATTACACTCATGTCCATAAATTAAGGATAATGCAAAATCAGGCAAAGGTAGAGTTAGAAGCAAAACAAATTTGACTTATTTGTAAAGCTTATTTTAAACAAAGGTAAAGAGCAAAAAAAAAAAAAAAAAAAAAAATGCTATTATTAAAAAAATTAGCGATTTTTTCTCCCTGAGCAATTACAAAAAAAAAACCTATTTACAAAAAAAACAATAGTACATG